CGCACAGTGAATGCGTCACACGTGAATTGTACGCGTCAACACGTTTCCCCTTGTTTTTGTTAATCTCCTCATCTTCTGCTACGGTGAAGTGCTCCATTCGAAAGCCACTGTACAGCACTCAGGCCATGTTCTCCGTGACCCCTTCCTTCTTTCTGCCTTTTCAGGTGTTCCTTTCTCCATGCGAATCCGCAGAACAGCAGCAGCAGCAGCAGCAGCCACAGCAGCAGGGCGGAAGCGAGCAAGCGGAGGCGGCTCCGTTTGCGCTCTATATGCCAGCAGAAGGCGCTGGGGTAAAGGTGGCAGGCGAGGAGCGCTCAGGAGCAGCAGCAGCGGGAGAGACGGCAGTGGATGCGGCAGCGACAGGGGAGGAGATAGCGGAGATTTCAGTGTCGCGGTGCGAGTACGAGCGCGAGGTGGATCTGTGCTTGGCGTCGCTACAGCCGTCCGCTGACGTGGCGAGACTGGTGGCGAAGGAGGAGTTGGAGGCGGTAGAGGCGACTGTAGCCGTGCACCTGGACGTGAGTGTGGGCGCGGGGGAGGAGGAGAGTGAAGGGGGGAGAAAAAGGGTGAAGAGGGAAACAGGAGATTTTGTACGTGTGTGGGGGTGGGAGACGTGGGTAGGAGAGGGAGGGAGGGAGGGAAGAAGGGGTGTAAACGAGGAAAGGGAATCCGAAGGATGAAGAACGCAGCTCTGTAGCTTTGAACGCGCTTGCATCTCTTGGATTGTCAATAACAGACCTACATTCCTTTTTCCGAAGCTCACATATGCTCCGCTTTTCTCCCGTCCTCGTGCGGCAGGACCTTGCTCCCCCCGGCTGTTCCGGCTGCGCCGCCGCCACATCAGACGCCTCCGCCGCCCTCTGCGCCATGCGCCGCATCGCCATGGAGTCTCTTAAAGACCCCTCGCTGCGCTTCGTCCTCGGCTCCCCCTCCCCCGCGCGCGCCGCCACTGTGACCGCGTATTTCGACCCCCTGCGCGCGCCCCTGCTGCTCCGCGCGGGAGAGGAGCGGCGGAAAAAGTGCGCGTTTGAGCATATGAGGGGAGCAGAGGGGGAAGGGCAGGGGGGTGCGGAAGGCGGAAGCGGAAGAGGGAGGCGGTTGAACGAGGAAGGCAGAGGCGGCCCAGTTGAAGGGCCAAGGGTTGCGAGAGCGGAGAGAGATCCGATTCTGCTGTGCCATCAGTTACGGGTGTCTGAGCTCTTTACCCTCAGCCGCGCTCAGGGCTTCCTCCCCATCAACTCGTCCTCGATAGAAGCGCGTTTCGTTACAGCACAAGGGAGGGCGCGGTCGGCGGAGTTTGAGGTGGCGCGGTCGGTGTGCGAGTCGGAGGAGGTGCTCCCCATTCCGCAGCAGAAGTGGGCCAAATTCACCTTCGTCGAAGGTACGCCATGCTGGCGACTCACTTTCACGCACTATGTCCCTTCCGTCTCCTCGTTCTTCTATCTTGTTCCTGCCTTTCCTCCGCCTTCTCCTCTCTCCCCTAAGCCGTCCCCTCTCGTGCTGCCCCCCATGCGAGCAGAGCGTCTGGGAATGGCCTACTGCGGTATTCCCGAGGTGGCCTCCACCACGTGGCTGCAGTGGATTCGCGCGCAGAGCGGCCTGCCTTACACGGACAAGGAGCCGCTTATAAGGGAGACGGGGCTGCACCGGCTGTCAGCCAACTTCACAGAGAAGGAGGCGGTGAGTGTGGGAGGGCGAGAAGGATGATGGGTCGTGGTGAAGAGGGCAACTCTGTACAGGTAGTCTACCAATTTCACAGAATGAGAGGCGGTGACTGTGGCAGGACTGAAGGTCCTGTCCCATAGAACCGTACCTGATATAGAGATAAGGCAGTGCAAAGGACAACACGGCATACCTACCATGGCAAAGTATAGCATGGTGCTATTCACACTCACGATATCTCCTGCATTCCCCCTCCTATCTGCTCACCTCCTCCCATGATCACTGCCTCCCATGATCACTGCCTCCCATGATCACTGCCTCCCATGATCACTGCCTCCCATGCTCACTGCCTCCCATGATCACTGCCTCCCATGATCACTGCCTCCCATGATCACTGCCTCCCATGATCACTGCCTCCCATGATCACTGCCTCCCATGCTCACCGACCTTCTTTCTTCCCTCACACACACCCCCTTCTCTCCTCTCCTCCTGTCATCCTCTCGCCCACCAGGTGCGGCTGCTCTTGCGCCCGGGCATGTTCCGATTCACGTTTGTGCGCAACCCCTTCACGCGCGCCCTCTCTGCCTACCTCTCCAAGCTCGCCTACACCTCCTCCATCACCGCCTCGCGCCGCGGCTCCACACAGTCGCCCAGGCAGCTCTGGGCCAAGGTGCGTGCTCTTCCATTTCCTCTTTGTGAGGACCCTCGCACGTGCTCTCCCTGCTTGCTTCGTGACGAACGAGCTACTATCCACCACCCTCTCCCTTCCCACTCCACCCCATCCCTCACCACGCATTCTTTCTCCAGTGTGGTAGCAGTACGAGGCAGTGAGGGCGTTCGAATCGATATTGACTTTTCTCATCCCCCCTCACCCCCCCACCCCCCACCAGGCGTTTTTCCGCCACGTGTGGCAGCAGTACGAGGAGGTGCGCGCGCCAGAGGGTCTGGTGACCTACCGTGCGTTCCTGAGGCTGGTGGGCGCACTCATGCAGGACCACAGGGCCACCATGAACCGCCACCTCTCGCCCCAGGTAGGCCGCGTTATTGCCCTGTGCGGATGAGTTGTTGTGTCGGTTAGTGCACTGCATTCAGTCTGTTTCTGTGTTGGCACTGGAGCAGGGGCAGGGGCACAGCGTGACCATGAACCGCCAGCCATCTGGCTCCTCACGTGGGCACAGAGGGCACATGGGGGGGGGGGGGGGGGTGAAACGGTGCACATGCAGGGGTATATTTGAATCCACACACACCTCGCCCCTCGGATGTGGCATTTTTGCCATCCAGCTTTTCTTCTCGGCAGTGAAATCAAGTGCCATGCAGTGCCATGGTGTGGCATTCTGCCCGATGCTTTTCATCTCATTCACCCTTGCCCAATGGATACTATCCTTATCGCCCCCGCTGCACCACGCCAGGTGGACATCTGCAATCTGAACGGCATCAAGTACGACTATGTGGGGCGCTTTGAGCACTTCAAGCGGGACGCGGAGACAATGGCGGGCGAGTTTGGCGGGAAGCACCTGGACGTGTTTGAAATCGACCCCAGCGCGCATGTTGTGACCAACAGGAGTGTCGTCAAGTACTATAACGAGGTCAGTGCTTTGCGCCCCATTTCGTATGTCGTCTCCCTGCACTTTCATGTGTCATGCGCTGTTGCAATGACCCACCAATTTACAAACGGCTTGTAAGCTTCCTAAATGGTTGTGAGTGTGTGTGTGTCGTTTGTGGAATTTGCAGGAGGCTTCTAAGCTGCTTATGCAGGTCTACAAGATGGACTTCCGTATCCCTCTAAACAATATTTCTTTTTGGCCACCAAAAGCCCTTGAGAAGCCTAAGAACACGTCTCTTGCATAGGAGCCCTGTGTTGAGCAGCTTAGGAACGTGTCTCTTGCACAAGCAATGTCACTTGCCATTGGTGTAGATACTGCACCCATTCAAAGAATGGATGGGGCTGTTAGATTGTTATTTTCCACTTTTACTAGCTGCTGCACTATCCCCAACGTGCAGTCCCAACCCAAACGTCAGCCCTAGTGTGAGTAAACCCAACTGTGTCAATTGCCAAGGAATTTGGAAGCTCCATTTCCACGAAATAGCAATAAAGAGGCGTTGAACCTGACGTGAATCGAACACGCAGCCTTCTGATCTGGAGTCAGACGCGCTACCATTGCGCCACAGATCCATGACATCTGCTAGAAATGTATACATTTGTCTTTATTGTTTTTATTCATTGGTGCTCACCGTGCAAGAACTTCTCGAGTTCACAATCATGATGAAGACCACCAAGGATGAAGCGTTGCCGTTTGGTCACTATCTGTACGTGCATACCGCCCACTCATGCACTATGTCTCGACTTCCTTGCCTTCCCTTCCTCTTGCACTTCCCTTCCCTTTCCATCCCTTCTTCGCCCAACCCGTTACCTCCCCTCTTCCCCGTCCCCTCCCGCGCTCCAGCTGCCTCGCCTGCGGGGCGGACCTCGGCCTGTCAACGTCCGCCATATTTCCGCCCGCCGTCCGCTTCGACGCCGGGAATCGCGGCTCCATCTCCTTCGAGCGAAGCAGCGTCGATGCGAAGCAACTCGCTATAGTCACAACCATGGAGAGCCGCTGGGGGCCGTTCTTTGAAAGCACCAACTCGTTCGGGATTCACCGCGACCGCACCGTCATGCGCTGCCGAGCCTGCCATGCCCGGCTCGGCACGGTCATGGATGATGGTCCGGGCGTGGGTAGGATACACTCTGGGTTTGGGCCGAGCCAGTTTTCAGAACGAGTGGGACGGTATAGGGTTTGGCGCAAGGCAGTAATGTTCCAGGAAGGGCCGTGGGGGGAGGAGGGGGCCCCGGTGGAGGGAAAGGGCGCAGTGAAGGGTTGAGAGTCGCAGATTTAGGAGATGGGTTAGCAGAAGGAGATGGGTGGGTGTGTATGGGGATGGGGATGCGGATGGAGATGGGATGGGCATGTTGGGTGAGTCACAAACGCATCACACAGTACGTGCGAGTCTGGTGTGGTGTGGGGCATGCAGAGCTGCTTGCTTGGACACTGGAAGCAAGTGTGAGATGAGGTTGTCATCATGAGACTGCATGAATGACTAGCCATACCATGTGATGTCCGTGTGGTCTCTTGTTTATATTCGTGTTATGTTACGTACATAGACGGGGATGTCTATGGTATGGTTGCAGCTTCCTATTGACAGCAGTTTATATTAAATATTTGCTGAATACACAGCTCAAGGTGAGCAACCAAGATGCTGTAAGCACGGATAACAAACACCTAAAGTCCTGGATGCTTGCGCATCCAGCGAATAAAAACTCCTAATGGCATATATAAAACACTATTCTATAATATGTGTTACAGTATCGTGCAGCAACTTGTCCCAGTGTCACCACTGCCTTGACCATCACCCGCCGACCCTAACTCTGCTTGGATCTTCTCCAGGCGAGCCACCACCTCTGCAAACTCAGGGCGCACTGTCTCATCGCGGTCCCAGCACTCCGCCATCAGCCTTGCCAGCTCCGGGTTGCATGAAGGGGGAATGTCCGGCCGTTGGTTCTGTGGCAGGAATGGGATGCGGGGGGTGTGGGGTGTGTTAAGACTCTGACTGCAAGCCCTAGTCGCACTGGCTCATCACAATCCCAGCACTCTGCCATCAGCCTTGCCAGCTCGGGGTTGCACGGGGGGGAATGTCCGGCCGTTGGTTCTGTGAAGAGGGGGGTGTGGGGAACGGGGATGATGCGGAAGGTGTGGTTTTGAGGTGTTCAAGACTGTTGCTTGCTGCAAGCTTGTGCACCTGTAGGCCACCTTGTGCATAAACGTTGTATGGGAGCGGGATGAAGCTGAGGCGTCTTGACAGCACGAGCAATAGAGTTCTTGGGTTCTCCACACCATGTGGTTTGTGGTTCACCCCCATGTGATTCACCCCATGTGGCTCACCCCCACGTGGTTCACCCCCATGTCGTTCACCCCCATGTGGTTCACCCCCATGTGGTTCACCCCCATGTGGTTCACCCCCATGTGGTTCACCCCCATGTGGCTCAACCCCATGTGGTTCACCCCCATGTGGTTCACCCCCATGTGGTTCACCCCCATGTGGTTCCCCCCATGTGGTTCACCCCCATGTGGTTCACCCCCATGTGGTTCACCCCCATGTGGTTCACCCCATGTCGTTCACCCCCATGTCGTTCACCCCCATGTGGTTCACCCCCATGTCGTTCACCCCCATGTCGTTCACCCCCATGTCGTTCACCCCCATGTGGTTCACCCCATGTCGTTCACCCCCATGTCGTTCACCCCCATGTCGTTCACCCCCATGTCGTTCACCCCCATGTCGTTCACCCCCATGTCGTTCGAATACATCCCCCACGGCCAATGAGTAAGAGTAAAAGCGGGTCAATGATACTTCAGTATGCATTTCAGCAAATATTTGTTTGCGCAACCTGTTTTTATTCGCAACCGTATTCGACACACCATGTATTCAAACCGTATTCGAATTCGTGGAGGGACAGGTATTCAGCCAGGTATTCGACAATTATTCGTTTAAGATAACTGTATTCGAATCCGTATTCGTTTTTACACCCTCAGCCGTAATAAATCACGGGCCCCGCGCACCTTATGCACGACGTCGTAGGCGAGTTGGTGTGGGTGAGCTTTTGAAGGTATGAGCCCGTTGGCTCTCCACACCGTGTGGTTCGTTTGCTTTACTCATGCTAGACTACATCGAGCGCACCTTGTGAACAACGTTGTAAGCGAGTTGGATGAAGGTGAGTCCCTTGAACGGCAGCTCGCACGTCACCAGTTCCCACAGCACGATGCCGTAGCTGTACACGTCCACTTTCCTGGTGTATGGCTTGTGGTCTATCACCTGAAAAGTTGTGGGCGGAGGAGGGGAGAAAGAGGGTCGGATTGTGATGTGAGTGAGTCTCCCACAGCACGATGCCGTAGCTGCAAACACCAACATTTCACCTACTCTGGTGTCATACTCTAATCACTTTCTGCCACGTATTGAACCATGGCCTCTAAATGGGGTTCGAGTGAGTCTCCCACAGCACGATGCCGTAGCTGCACACGTCCACCTTGCGCGTGTACGGCTTGTGGTCTATCACCTGCGTGTGTCCACAGTAGAGAGGGGTATGCGTGTAATTAGAACGGAGGGAACGGGTGTCTGGTTGATTGCTGCTCCCACAGCACGATGCCGTAGCTGCACACGTCCACCTTGCGTGTGTACGGCTTGTGGTCTATCACCTTGCGCGTGTACGGCTTGTGGTCTATCACCTTGCGCGTGTACGGCTTGTGGTCTATCACCTTGCGCGTGTACGGCTTGTGGTCTGTCACCTGCGTGTGAGGGGGAAGCGAGGAAGAAGAGGGGGATAGGGAGTCAGGTGTAAACTGTGAGTCCCTTGCAGCACGATACCTGCTGCATGTGTGGAGTGGACGACCATCCGGCATGTGCACAGCATGTGCGAGAGTCACCTCATCTGGTTAGGAAGGAGGAGGATTTCTATGGTTGTCTGTTGCTTACACGTCCACAGCTCATCCCAGCCCGGGGGATGCTATCCCGTTCTCTTCAGTCACCATCGCCATCTCACCTCGGGCGCCATCCAGCGCACAGGGCCCATTGCACACGTCATGTCGCCGGGGTTCTTGGCCTCGGTGCGAGCCACCCTTAACACACAAAGAGAGCGACACACATACACTCTCACTCATACCCCACGCACAACCCCCTTCTAGGCTCACCTCGGGCGCCATCCAGCGCACAGGGCCCATTGCACACGTCATGTCGCCGGGGTTCTTGGCCTCGGTGCGAGCCACCCTTAACACACAAAGAGAGCGACACACATACACTCTCACTCATACCCCACGCACAACCCCCTTCTAGGCTCACCTCGGGCGCCATCCAGCGCACAGGGCCCATTGCACACGTCATGTCGCCGGGGTTCTTGGCCTTGGTGCGAGCCACCCTTAACACACAAAGAGAGCGACACACATACACTCTCACTCATACCCCACGCACAACCCCCTTCTAGGCTCACCTCAGGCGCCATCCAGCGCACGGTGCCCGTTTCACACGTCATGTCGCCGGGGTTCTTAGCTTCCGTGCGTGCGACGCCAAAGTCAGCAATCTTGACGCTGCCCTTGTAGCTCACCAGAATGTTGTCTGACTTCAAGTCCCGGTGCACTATGTGGTGCGCGTGCAGGTACCTACGTGGGGGAAATGGAGCGGGAGCAAAGGGGAAAAATAATAACAATCGATAACCATACCACCAAGAAGGGCAGTGTAAATACAGTCCCTGCAGCAGCACAGCAGCATGGTGGCCAAACTCATCTCCGTGGTGTGCTGCCCTGCTCGCTCTCCTCACCTCCCGCTCGCCCCCTGCTCGCTCTCCTAGCACCACCACCGCCTCAGGACAGATCATGAGTAAAACGATTCTGAAAGGAGAGGAAAAACAAGAGCTGGTAATGGTGAGCAGGTGAGGGCAATGCGATGCGAGAGAAGAGAGACGAGAAAAGCCTGCATGCAACTGTTTGCGCTCGTCTCTCGTCTCTCGCATCGCATCGCCCTCACCTGCTCGCCATTCCCAGCTCTTGATTCTCCTCTCCTTTCAGACTGATTTTACTCGTGATCTGTCCTGACTCATTTTTCTCGTTTTACCCGTTCAGTGCAAACCGCACCACCGCCTCCCTCAACTAACCCACGCTTTTTGCCCCACCACACACAACAACCCAACCAGTCCCCTCCCCTGTGCTCCTTCCCTTCCCCCTCCCCCCTTCCCCCTCCCCACCACTCACTCCAGCCCCCAAGCCACGTCCAGGGCAAAGCGCAGAACGCCCTTCTCCTCCATGCCCCTCGCCATGCACCCCCCCCCCCCCCCCTTCCTCTTCCCCCTGTTCCCTTCCTCATCTTCCTCTCCCCCCCACTCTCAGCCCCACTCGCTCCAGCCCTCGCGCCACATCCAATGCAATCTGCAGCCCGTCCTTCACCTCCCGGCGCCCTTCTGCCCCCCATGCACAACAGAATCAGCAACCCACGTCCCCTCCATTCCCCTCCCTCCCCCCCCTTCCGCCCACTCACTCCAGCCCACGAGCCACATCCAAGGCAATCCGCAGAACGTCCTTCTCTGCCAGGCGTCGCCGGCGCGCCAAATAGTTCCGAAGCGTGCCGCCCGACATGTACTCCGTGACGATCGCCCACAGCGGCGTGCCGGGCGGCGGCTTCGCCTCTGCTGGCGCCACAATATTGCTGGCGTCTAGTGATGCCCCTATGAACTGGGGTGGGGAGAGATAAGGGGAGGGAAGGGAAGGATGGGCGATGATGGGTTTACCACGATGCTGCTGGCATCCAACGAGGCTCCTGTGAACTGACTTTCGTTGCAGTGGGACAGGGGTCAGGGGATAGGGGAGGGGACAGGGGACAGGAAAAGATGGGGTAAGCAAGCGGGGGAGATGGGGGAGGGGCGGAAGCCGGGAGGTTGACTGCGTGGCAATCCAAGGGACCACCGTTGCACAACCAACGCAATTACACACCCTCACAAGCTCGCACATTACCTCGCCCCACAATCTCACACACTCACTTTCACTCACTCTCAACCACTCTCACACGCACGAGCGCACCTGCACGATGTTGGGGTGCTTGAGCGTGTGCCACACGTTGATCTCCTGCAGAATGCCCGCCTCTATGCTCGCCAGCTCCTTGGGGGGGATGTTGGGCGACACGCTGATCAGTTTCACTGCCACGTCATCCTGCCCGTACAGCCCGTGGTACACGCGCCCAAACGCGCCTGGAGTGGAGAGTGGGGGAGTGGGGGAGTAGGGGGGGAAGAAGGGGGAGGTGGGGGTCAAAGGGGGAAAAGCGAGGTGCAAGAAAAGGTTTAGGGGGGTTTGCCCGAACAGCCCGTGGTACAGGTGTCTGTTTTGGTTCTTCTGTTTTGTCCCCTCTGCATAAAACAAGCACAGGGATTAGGTTGAACATCAGGTAAGAGCCCTTTAACTAGTAAAAACATTTTCAAAGAAAAGAAAGGAAGAAAGAAATAAAGGAAACAAAAAGGTAAGCTTGTATTGGGCTCCAGCTGCAAGCTGATTGGTGCAGGAAGGAGATAATGGACGGGGCAGCGGGGGTGGTACCTGCTGCCAGCTGATTGGTGCAGAGCACCTGCGGAGTACACGTGGCGTGGCGGCACGCGCATCAATGCCATCGTTGGGGAAGGGGAAAGGGAAGGAGAAGGGGAAGGGGAGTGGGAAGAGGAAGGGGAATCGAAGGGAAGAACAAAAAGGGTCATGGGAAGGAACGGCATTTTGGAAGGGTCAGTGACACCTGCAAGGGGATGGCAGAGCAAGGCGATATGCAGGGGGAAAGAGCAATAGCCGAACTCCTCCCTGTGCCCATTACCCTCCCCACCAACCGTACCCCGCCTACCTTCCAACCACACCCCCATTTTTCTCCAAACATACCCCATTACCCCCAACCGTACCTCATAAGACTCAGAACATCGCGCATACCTTTGACATATCCATCTCCCACGCCAGTTTCTCCTCGCCCTTCGCCCCTCCCCCCCCGTCCGTCCCTTCATCGCCACTCTCGATCTCAAAACACCCCGCCTTATTCTCCGTTCCGACCGCTCTTTCTTGTACTTTTAACGAGTTTACTTCTATCGAGTTCGCTTCTGGCGCGTTCGCTTCGAACGAGTTCGCTCCTAACGAGTCTGACGGCGACCGGCACGGGGGGGTCTCCACAAGCAGCGGCTGGTGCTGCTGCCGCCTCTCCGCGTCCCGCTGCGCGCCGTTGCTCTGCGGGCGCGCGGGGAGGGGCTGATCGGGTTGCGGGCGCGCCTGCGGGGGAAGCGCCTTCTGCGTGACGACCCCCTCCGCCTTGGGGTCAATTCCCTCCGCCTGCGCGAACGTGTTGAAGTCCAGAAGGCCGACGCGCGCCACCTTGCTGTCGGCCATTGTTAATTTCTAAGTGCGCCGAGAACCGTGCGGTAGACGCAAGGGGGTGCTATGCGAGCACACGCGAAGCTGGCTTTCGCTAAATACTCCGACAATACTTTCTCCCCGAAAGGAGTAGTTGTGCGATAATTAGTTTGCTTGATTGAAAGGGGTCGGTTGACGACTCAAGAAAAACTCGAATCGGGCTTTCGTTTCTTAATGCGAGGAGAGGTAATTGCGGAGAGAAGATGCTGCTGATTGTGGATACGGTAAAACGGGAATAACTTGTGATTGCTTCATTAATAACAATTGGCTGCGGATCTTCGACTACGAGAGGCTGATCTTGTCATAGTTAACGCTATGAAGTAATTAACTCTAACGAAGTGTCATTTTATGGGGCGTGGAGCAACTAGCGCTTTACTTCGCGAACGACGAAAGGCCCTACAGCACAAAGAAATTGTTGGCGGCGATTACGCATGGTTTGCTTGATTCGTTCAACAGTTTTCTGTTGCTAGTTAACAACGACAAAAGTCAAGTATTTCATGGCACGACAAGAGCTATTACACACAATGCTGAAGAGCAGCAATGGGCGCTGAACAGCTCAACGAAGCACGCTACACCTATCTATCAACCCACCTTCATGCTTCCGCCAGCCTCAGGTTTTGGCGTGGGCGGGAAGAGGACAGACAAACTATTTTACCCGCGAAAGCGGGTTCTCGAAGTGCCGCTCGCGGCGGCGTTACGGAAACCGCTGAACAATTTTACGAACCGCACAGAAACGCTGTGTGTTGCCACAGAAACTTCTTTCTTGCAGAGTTGCCGACGAGGCGGGTGGGGAGGTGAGGGGTTTGGGGCTGGAGGTTGGGGGGATGGGGTGGTGGGGAGAGGAAGTGGGGGTATTTGTGAAAAGTGGACGCTCGTGTGTGGCACGTGAGGTTTGGGTTCCTTTCTGAGGTGCAGCAGCTGCTTTCACAGAGGTTGCTCATTTGATTGGCTAAAAGTTAGTGCCAACTACGGGATGCGCATAGCGAAAAGAGCTTCTGGATTGGTTGTTTTTCATCACATGGCTTTTGGAGTCGCCAACATCTCAGCAAGAACGCACTACAGTACAATGGCTTGCGAGCGCACCAATCGAAGACACTCGCAAGCATTTACGGCGTGAGAAAACAAGAGGTACAGTTTCTTTGCCCAATACAAAACCTCCGATACAAGTTACGGTAACATTTCCGTAAAAGATTTGCTCACACTTGCGCTGCAAAACTTGTTATTACAGCGCCACCCCACTAAATTATGCATCTGACTGCGCCAACCTGTCTCACTGACAACCAACCACAAGACGAAAACGGGCTGCATCAGTCCACGTGTATAATTCGCATCTGTCAGCAGCAAACAATCTTGATAAAGGTCAAGGTGCAGACAACCGCTCGATCTTTTTCTGCTGTAAGATCGCCATCTCATATCCCTGTCGTGTGCAACCTCAACCATCCGATCAGAAATCCACAACAGCACAGCCCAGTTTCCTGGGAGCTCCATCCGTCGTCGTCATCCTTTCCCTCCCGCCCTCACCTCACCCTGGTTCCTGGGCTTCATCGAGGGTCTTGCAAAACAGCATCTTTCCTTTATCTCTATACTCCACCCCACAACACCCTAGATTCCCTCGTTTTGCTCTTCCATGCTTGATCTGTAAACTAGAACCCTTGCAGTTCCTGAAGTTGTGACCTCTCGTCCCCCCCACCGCCTTTCTCGCTAGCAGCGTTTGGTGATCAGGACAGTATGGTGGCGACGGCATGGTCGAGATAAACCATCGCCCATTCTCTTGGGGCTCCGATTGACCAACACGCTTTGATTGGACTTGCTTGCATTCGCTTCTTCTAGCCTTGCCGTGTATAGTTATACAAACCAATTTAGGTAGTGCTTTAGTCAATGGCCTCCGCAATCAGCATTCCGTCTCGGACAATCTTAACCGTTGCTGAATCTAGCACCTTAGGAAGTGTCGCTCATTATTCGAGCCAACATCTAGACAGCAACAGCTTCGTCGTTAAACCCGTACGAAGACGAACGTTCCGCTTAGGCGCTGCTCAGATCCCATCCTCTGCGTCGCCAATTCGATCTCCATTGTCGATGGCGAAAGACCAAGCTGTCGGTGCCCGGTCGACGTCAGTCAACGGCTGCGCGACGCACGCTAACCCTCCACCGATCGCGCAGACGGCAAAATCCGGCTCCTCTGCAGCTATGGAGAGCTCGGAGGCGGTTGAGGCGAGGTCGTCGCTGTCCACTAAGTCCGTCCATGCAGGTGCGCTCGCTACTGGTGATCACTAAACGCTTCTTGTGATATTGCAGTACGAAAACTGTAAACCGTTTTGGATCAGCTCTTTGGATTCGTCAGTTTTCCTGGATAATTGTTGTCCACAACTTAAATCTCTTATTACACGACCACGCGTTTGAAGATGGAGCTTGGAGGGCGAAAGAATTAGCTGAACAGCGGCATTGCAAACCGCTGTTCAAATCGGAGCGTGAGTTGAAATGCATTTACTTCTTTTTGCTATTCCGCGCTTGCAGGGGAGCGACCTGGACGTCCACTGGTGGTGGACTCGCTGACGACGCCCATCGTGCAGACGTCCACCTACTTCTTTAAGGACACTGCCGACCTCATCGAATTCGTCGTACGTTCTCTCGCCACTTCTGCATTTCCCGCGTTCGTTACACCTGTCAGATCCGTCACATTTTCTAGTTGTGTTTTGTCTTTGGTGGTTATGCCGATTTTCAAGTACTTAGGTCCTCGTGTGCATTTTAATCTAGAAGTGTAGAAAGAGCACGTTTTAGTCGTCATGGCTTGTGATTCACATCAGCTCTTTTTCTGTCGCAACTCTGTCGGCGCAGGAGGGGAGGAAGACGAGCTTCGAGTATGGGCGGTACGGCAACCCAACGACCGACACCGTGGAGCGCAAGATCAGGTAAGCACAACCTTCCGCGCGCTGTTTCTCGCTCCCCGCCCCTGTGCCTCATCAACACGTGCCGATTTTTGGGTCAGCACGACGAGAACAGGATGACGAAATCCCGGAACGGAAATCCCGCTCTTGTCTGTAATCTACCCTCTGTTTGTTTCCAAGCTACGCGCGCACGCCATTCCAACGGTGCACTCGTTTCTCAACCCATCCCTGCATTTCGTCTCTCCCCTTTTTCCAACGTCTGTCTGCGCCTTCTGCTCTCCGCTCACCCCCCAGCGAGCTGGAGCAGGCGGAGGCGACGCTTCTGTCGTCGTCGGGCATGTGCGCGGCGACGACGATGCTGCTGGCGCTGGTGCCGGCGGGCGGGCACATCGTGACCACCACCGACTGCTACCGCCGCACGCGCCAATTCATTCAGACCATGCTGCCCAAAATGGGCATCACCGTGAGTGCCGCTTGAGGGGAGCGGGGGTGCGGGAGAGTTCGGTGGGAAAGAGAAGGGCAAGAAGGGAAGGGAAGAGGGGAGGAGTGTTTCGCGGACTGATTGCGATGCCGTGCACTCACTACTTCTACCTGTAATCTCTTCTATTCGGCGTCACTTGACCTCTCGGTTCCCCACTTCTATGTCCATCAAAATCCTTGCTTTCGTGATTTCTCCCCTCTCACCCCGTCTCACCATCTCGCTCCCTCGCCTTTCTTGCCCTTCATACCCACCTTTTCACTCCCCCCTTCCTCTACCCACCCTTTCACCGCATGTCAGACGACTGTGATCGACCCGGCTGATATGGGCGCACTGGAAAAGGCTCTTGACGAGAATGAGGTGCGTATCAGTGTTTGCATGACCCTTCACCCCATCATCCTTCAATACACCCACAAAAATCTAGAGGTACGGTGATTAGGGTGACTGCAAGCCCTACCAAAATCACGCAGACATAGTGTGGCTGGAGTTTTCCCATTGGTTTGATTTTTCTCAACGGTCGTGCACACATTTTGCATCTGAGAAGCCAGATGTCGTTCAAACGAGCTGATATGGATTTCGCTCTGAACCCACACAAGAGGGAATTCCACACACAATTGAACCGTTCAGATACAGTTAACGCTTAACGATTTACGCACATCCCTCCTATCCGTCAACCCGGCCTCCTCCCGTTGTCGTCCGCCTGCGCTCCTGTCTCTCATCCCTCTGCACTCCCCCGCCCCACTTCCCCTCTCCCTGTCCCTTCTCCTCTCCCCATTCCCGTCCCTCTTCACCCCTCTCCCCTTCCCCGCCCTTCTCTCCTCCCCGCCCCTCTCCCTCACCCCACCCCTTCCCCCTCCCCCGGTGCGCCAGGTGTCGCTGTTCTTCTCGGAGTCCCCCACGAACCCGTACCTGCGGTGCATCGACGTGCCGCTGGTGAGCGGGCTGTGCCACGCCAAGGGTGCGCTGGTGTGCATAGACGGCACGTTCGCCACGCCCATCAACCAGCACGTGCTGCCGCTCGGCGCGGACCTCGTGCTGCACTCCGGCACCAAGTACCTCGCCGGTCACAATGACGTGAGTCACGTTTGATGGTGGCTTTGTGGTCCGGGGGTGGAGGGGGGGGGGAGGGGAAGATCTGAGGGAAAATTCGTGAGGCACGTTTGGGGCGGACTTGGTGCCGTACTGCACCCAGGCACCAAGTAACTCGCCGGGCACAATGACGTGAGCTCGCCACGCTTCTCTGCTGTGCCTTCCCTTCCCCGGTTCCCTTCCCTTTCTTCTCTTCATCTCTCATCGGAATCCTTCACGCACCCCTCGTGTGTCTTGCATGAGTCAAACTTTTCACCGCCATTGCCAGCGAATCATAGGCTCAGTTCCACATTGACATTCATTCCATCCCATGACCCACCTCCCCATGCCGTGCCATGCCATGCCACACAGGTGTTGGCGGGGACCATAAGTGGCAAGGCGGAGCTGGTGCAGAAGGTCCGAGCGCTGCACAACGTGCTGGGGGGAGTCGTTGACCCGGTGAGTCACTGTGCATGCACTTCGCACTGCACTCTACCCTGCCTGCTCTACCTTAGTGCGTGCCCCTGCACATCACTCTCTACCCATTGCCCCTGCCCATCGCCCCTCCCGCGCACCCCGAGCAAGCATCATGTCTTGGAGTTCCTCAAGGCCCTGTGTCGTCCATGCCCACAACCGAACATCACCCCTCCTACGTCCCCGCCCACCTGTCCATGTGCCCCCCGCACAGCACGCGTCCTACCTGATACTGCGCGGGCTCAAGACGCTGGCCCTCAGGGTGCGGCGGCAGAACGAGACCGCCATGGAGCTCGCCCTTGCGCTCTCCAACCACCCCAAGGTGCGCTGCACTGCTCCCTTCCGGCCAGCCTTATCAGTGCCCTCTGTGTGCCATTTCTCTCCCTGCCATGGAGCTCGCCCTCGCCCTCTCCACGCACCCCAAGGTGCAGCACGCTCTCTCCCCGCTTGTTAGGGCGCCGCAAATCCATTCCAACCCGTGCTTCTCCCGTTCCCGTTGCCGCATCCCCGTGTGACGTGTATCTCCCCGCTCCATGGAGCTCGCCCTCACACTCTCCACACATCCTAAAGTTGCGCTGCTCCCTCCTCGGCCAGCCTTTATCGTCTCCTCTCTCCTGTGCCATGCCTCCTGCCCTTCCTCCCACCCCCCTCTCCCCATTCACACCACCCAGTTCATACTGCTTTTACACTACCTGTGCCCGCCCTTCCCCCCCCCCCCCGGGGCATTTCATCCCCGCTCTCCCTTCTTCCTGCCGCTCCCCCGTTTAAACCCCCTCTTCCCCGCCTCCAGGTGGTGCGAGTGCATTACCCAGGCCTGCCCTCCCACCCCGAGCACCAAATCGCGCTGGAGCAGATGCATGGCGGCTATGGGGGTGTTGTCAGCTTCGAGGTGAGCGAGGGGTTGGTGAAGGGGAAGAGGAAGGGTGTCAGGGAAGGGTGAAGGGGAAGGGCGGGGTGGGTGAGCTGCAAGTACTAGTGGGAGTGCAGCAGATGCAGGGCGGCTATGGGGGCGTTGTCAGCTTCGAGGCACAGTGTGTGTGGGGGTGATGGGCGATTTGGGGGGATTTGTGGGGGTTGAGGTGAAGGGAGAGCTGCATGAGATGTGTTATGAGGATTTCAGCAAAAGCATGGCAGCTAATGCTTAGTTGGCTAGTTCGTATAGAAGCAGAAGGGACTGTGGAGGTTTGAGAAGGTGGTGCTGCATGGGATTGTGCCTGCTTTACCTGTCTCTCGTGTTGCCCTCATTCCGCTCTCCTGACCACGGTGGCATGATGTGTGGTGGCAGGTGGATGGGAACCTGGAGCGCACGTCACGCTTCATTGATGCACTCGACATTCCCTACATCGCCCCCTCGCTGGGTGGCGTGGAATCGCTGGTGGAGCAGCCCACCATCATCTCCTACTGGTATGCCTCCATTCCTTTCTTCCCCCCTTGCTCCTCTGGTGTCTTTCATCTGCCGAATGGGGCCCCCATGTTCAGACACCTCACCACACCCTTACCATTACAAAAAATCATAATGCTCTTCACGCTATCCCCTCTCCTCCCTGGGCTCTGGCTGGCTGGTACGGTACACTCGTGCAGGGACTATGGGCCAGAGGAGAGGGCAAGGCTGGGCATCAAGGACAACCTGGTTAGGTTCAGTGCAGGGATTGAGGACAGCTGTGACATCATCGCTGATGTCATGCAAGCTCTTGATAAGATCTAAGATGTGTGGAGGGTCTAAACATACATCAGAGCACTAAGCACATGCTTGCAATAGGGGGGATGAGTGGCTTTACGAGCTAAGGCCACTGTGCCAGGCAAAGAGCGGCAAGAGGATGCAGCATTTTGGTTGACGCTTGCTTCTCCTTGATGCCTCCTAGATAGTAAGGCTTGAGATTTCAGTGAAGGCTACTTGTGAGCTACTTGTAGAATATGTTCATTTGAAATTAACGATTGTAATCCGCTGGTACACTCAAATGACCACAATCAAACACCGTTGAGCAAGTTTTTCGTCACACCTGGCAAATATGTCGTCAGCATAGGTCTTCGTACCGCCACGTCACGCAGATGCTCGTCCATTTCGTGCACCAGATACACTCACCCGATCCGAATGTCATCTTTCAACACTACTGTTCACGCGCTTGCGTGGCACTCCATTGGAAATCCGCATCTTCGCGACTCGGCCGCTCATTATGAGTCTCTTATTTCTCGCATCACTCACTGCTCCCTCGTGCGTGAGTGACCTGGTCTGGTCCGCTCGTGTCCTGCTCACCTGACCCTTCACCACTTCACCAGTTTGTATCCTTCACCTGGTCGCATTATTCCGCATTTCCTCGTAGAAGTCGGAGGGTCCAGCACCGCTACCGACCGACATTCCTTCGCCCACTGATCGCTTGCCTAGGACAGTCACTCCTAATCCGTTTGGAGTGTTTGCCTCCACCGTCAAGCAGCCATGGCTACGCTAGCTTGCCCTAAGGCGACTGTTGCCTTCGCTGCTCGCACCAATGCCGCTTCTCGACCAGCGGCATCTGCGGCGGTCTCCGCGGCTCCCGTGAGCAGCAGAAGCGCTCGCCTTGCCGGATCCCTCTCCGCTTCCGCAGCCGCCGCTGCCGCTGCGTGCTCCAGCAAAGAACTCTTCTCCACTCCTGTAGCGCACTCACGCGGGCATCACGGCGCAATTCGCGCCATATCTCGCGGGGCTGTTCGGGTGGACGCTAGCGTGGCGCGGCGCAAAGTGCTGATCGTTAACACTAACGGCGGAGGCCACGCGGTGATTGGCTTCGCGCTGGCCCGTCAGTTAGCGACGGCCGGCCACTCGGTGACGATCATGACCGTTGGCGATCGCAACTCCGATAAGATGAAGAAGCTGCCCTTCTCGCGCTTCTCGGTAAGTTGTCTGCTGGGATACACTCTCGTAATTCTCCCGAGTAGGCATAGCTCGCAAGCTTTCCGCCATTCCGCTAAGGAGATGCGCACGGGACGGTGGAAAACCGCACCATTTTCCACGCGTGTGACTCGCTTACCCCCGCTACATGTCTCTCACTTTCCCCTTTACCCCTCCTCTTCCCCGTACTTCCCCCCCTTCCCAATTGTCCGTTTTTCCCGTTACCCTGCCCTTCCTCTTCTACCCTGTCCACCTGTCCTCCCTCCCACCCCTTCCTTTCCCCCGCTTCCTCCCCGTGCTTTCCTTCACAGGAGCTCCGCGCGGAGGGCGTGCGCACGGAGTGGGGCGACCCGGCGCGGCTGTCCGCCGTGTTCGGCGCGACCGGGGGCTTCGACGTGGTGCTGGATAACAACGGCAAGGACCTCGATACCGTCAAGTGAGTGACTATAAAGGGGATGAATGTAGCGCTTTACTCGACCAGACCTTTATACTGTGAAGCGTGCGTGGCCTACCGAGGCTGGCCGTATCGAGGTTGCTCGAGAAATGGGATGTCAAACAGTAACGACGGATGTTGTGGGTGTCAGAGTACTTTCAGAACCTTCCAGAACCTTCCAAAGCGAAACCGCGTGGAAACGGACGTTTCCTAAGCAGTCAATGAGGGGATTCTGCGGAAATTGGAGGCACCATTCCCTGCAAGCGCCATGTCAATGTGACCATTCTCGCTTCCCCATGCCCCTTTCCCATTTGAGCCGCTCAGCGTGTTTCAGGACGCCTCAAAACTAGGTCACATCTGTCACCAGATAGGGATCACCGCACCGCGTGTGTTCCTCTCCCCTTCTCCTTCTTCCCGCTCCCCCCCACCCACCCACCCCGCTTCCCCCCGCAGGCCCGTGGCGGACTGGGCGAGCGCGGCGGGCGTGCGGCAGTTCCTGTTCATCAGCAGCGCGGGCATCTACACGCCCTCGTCCGAGCCCCCGCACGTCGAAGGGGTGAGCGCACTGCGTCACGCGATGGTGGCGTGATAAATCAAGTAGAAAAACATTACACATGCAGGCAATTGAGCGCGCAATTCAAGCACTATGTTACGCCATGCAATCATGCACATCCCACCCCACATCTGCCGTACCCCACCTCACCCCACCCCGCCGCATCCCACCCCACCTGGCCCCACTCCTCAGGACGCGGTGAAGGAGAGCTCGGGGCACGCGCAGGTGGAGAAGTACCTGGCGGGCAAGGCGTGGGGCGACGGGTGGGCGGCGTTCCGCCCGCAGTACATCACGGGGTCGGGCAACAACAAGGACTGCGAGGAGTGGTTCTTCGACCGTGAGTGCCGCTTGTCGTGTAGTAGAGTCGACTTGGTAGAGCGCGAGGGGAATCAGGGATACTGGCTCCAATCAGGTCGACACATGTAGCGCATCACAAGGGGTAGGAGTAGCAGGGGCTGCGCGAGTTGTTGGTCCACACCACAAGGACCATGATGCCGCAGGCACCGTGATTTGCTGTGAACAGCGCTTCTCTTGTTTTGTACACTGGTAGAGTGACCTGCACCCCACATGCCCTGTGCACTATCTGCAGCGTACAGGGCACCATCACCGAGACATTCATCTTGCTATTCTCCATGCCCTTGCCACGTGCATGTCCGTGCAAGTGTGAGGCCTACCTTAAATGTCTGGAATCATTCCTCCTCCCCATGGCCCCCTGCCCTGCATGTGCTTGAGCAGGCATCGTGAGGGGGCGGCCGGTGCCGATCCCATCGCCGGGCATTCAGCTGACGGTGGTGGCGCATGTGGACGACATAGCGCGCATGATTGCCCTCGCCATTGACTACCCGCAGGTCCGCTCGCCACCCCAGGTCCGCCTTGGTCCACAGGTTGTTTGCAGGTGTTTGCACTCACACACTGCAGGCTTTTCCAGCCCCTTCCCCTGTGCTCGCTACCCTTCCTTCGTTCCCCTGAATGATCGTCTAACCTCTGCCCATGCCTCCAACCAAACCAAACCCGCCATCTTCCCCCCTCTCCACAACCCCTGCAGGACGCCAAGGGTCAGATCTTCAATGCGGTGGGCGGCAGAGCGGTGACGTTTGATGGGCTCGCTCGCATGTGCGCCAACGCTGCTGGCCGCGCCTCGTCACTCAAGATTGTGCATTATGATCCCAAGGCTGCTGGGGTAGACGCCAAGAAGGCATTCCCCTTCCGCAACATGGTGAGATACGATTTTCAGCCGCAGTGAGAATAGGTGATTTATTGCATGTGCGCCAATGCTGCTGGCCGCGCCTCGTCGCTCAAGATCGTGCACTACGATCCCAAGGGCGCTGGGGTCGATGCCAAGAAGGCGTTTCCCTTCAGGAACATGGTGAGAATACTCAGGGGACTTAACCATCACAAGCTTGTTTGTTGCATGGTGAGCTGAATCCAATCGATGTGGAGCTGTTAGCTGGTTTTAATATTGAAACCTGGATGAATGCTCTTTCTAGCCCTTGTTTCACCTTATCCTTCCTGGTGCATTCTGCCCTCCTGCACTCGCAGCACTTCTATTCAGAGCCCCGCAATGCGCGGGAGAGGCTTGGCTTTAAGAGCTTCACGGATCTGCAGACTGTTCTGAACCAGCGGTACATTGACTATGTGGCGGCTGGGAGGGACAAGAAGGATGCCAAGTTTGAGGTGGACGATAAGATCCTAGCTTCAGCTAAATAGACCGCTACAAGTGCTGATTGAAATTTGTTGTAATTCCGTGGAAATATGAATTTTAGGAATGGTTTGCAAGTACGTAACGCGGTACCAGTAAAGATGATTGAGCAGCTGCGTAAGAAGAATGAAGCCATATGAATGTTCTAAAGCCCTGTACTCCAGGTAGCTTGAGGACATGTTGAGGCCATAGGATTCACATGCCCAGGCTGAGCAACCCATTTTGATTGGCAAAGGAGCTTCAGTGCATGGGGTGTTGCAGCCGAGCTCAAAGCCCAGGGCTCGCAGAGGCCTCCTTCACGTTGTGTTTTGGGGCTTCCAAAAGAGAAAGACCAATTGAATCTAACAGCACAGGGTATTCTCGCGTTCAGCAGGATTCGAACCTGCGAGGGCGTAGCCCAACAGATTTCAAGTCTGTCCCGTTAACCACTCCGGCATGAACGCATGCTTCTGCATAAGAATATAATCAATTGATATTTTTAACAGTTTTGCCAAGTTTCTGCGTTCGCACCAGCAGCTTACCTCTCCGCCATCCATCGTCTCCCCCGCCACTCCCTTCGCCTATCACCGCTATTCCGACCCTCATCGCTCCGCCCATCACGCTGCGATCATCGCGGGCACGCCAGCATGAGCGGCATCGGCAGGGCGCTCTACAATGTGGGCTTCTGGGTGCGCGAGACGGGGCAAGCACTCGATCGACTGGGGTGCCGTCTGCAGGGCAAATATGCCTTCACTGAAGAACGTGAGTCGCGCCGCCGATCCGTCTAACGTGCTTTAGCTAACTCTTCAGCGCGCTTCGGTGGTTGCGATCTCGGCGTGAGGGCGTTGCGGGGCGGGCTTGAAGGGTCGAGCGTGCGGGTTAGGGTTGCGAGACGATCAACGGTGTAGATCGAGCAGGGATTAGGACCACCAGTCGATCGTGGCCTACCACACTAGGACCGTTGATTGTTGTGTCGATCCAACGGCTACCATTTCACCGTATGGGCGCTAGTGCGCGCTAGAGCCAGCACATGCTGCAATCATTGAGTGCTGGTAGGGGCGCCTCAGCGTCGGCTGGTCGAGGGAAGCGGCGATCGCGCTGATTTTCCCGATCCGCCCCATCCTGCCATGGCCATTGAGTCTTGTCCATAGCCATGTTGAATCCACTCCCGCACAAGCAACCCACCCTTTCTCATTCGCCCTTTCCCCTCTTCCCCTCCCGGTTGCTTCCCTGTTTTTCCCGGGCCCGCCCCTTCAAATCCACCCCCTTGTTTCCGCGCGTTGCCTCTCTTTTGTCCGCACGTCCCGTCGCTCTCGCGCACCGCAGTGTCGCGGCATCGCACCATCATGAATCTTTTCGACAAGCTGCCCGAGGTGCCCGCAAATGCCTTCGTGGCGCCGAGCGCGGCTGTGATTGGCGACGTGCAGATCGGGCAGCGATCATCTGTGTGGTACAACGCCATTCTTAGAGGTATACCATTCCCCTGCCATGCCCGCCCCTTCCATACCCTCCCCTACCTCTCCATATCAGATGTGGTCTTCACCATATCCCCCGCTTACCATACCCTCCACCTCTGCCGTACCTCCACCTTTCAACACCTTCCCCTTACTATACCATACCTCTTCCTTATTATACCGCTTCCCGACCATGCCTCTTCTCTTCCATACCTCTTCTTTACCATACCTCTTCTTTACCATACCTCTTCTCTACCATACCTCTTCTTTACCATACCTCTTCGTTACCATACCTCTTCTTTACCATACCTCTTCTCTACCATACCTCTTCTTTACCATACCTCTTCTTTACCATAACTCCACCATACCATGCCTCCGTCAATGCCCTTCTGCCCCCTAACCACTCCGTCACCCCCAATCGCCCCGCTCTGCCCCCCCCACCGCTCCTCCCAAATTGTCCACCTTACACTGGCTGACGCATGCGTTGTTCAATCCTCTCCCCCCACCCTCCCCCCCTCTCCGTTTTTGCCCCGTTTCCCCTGGTGCCACCTGGCTCATTCCCTTCACATTTTCCACTCGCAGGCAGCGTAAACGGCCTCATGCATTCTCTTCCCCCTATTTTCCCCACCGTCCCACCCCTCTTCCTCTTCCCCTTCCCCACCCCCCTCCCCCTCCTCCTGAGCAGGCGACGTGAACAGCATCCGCGTGGGCGCGGACACCAACATCCAGGACGGCTGCATCGTGCACGTGGCAAAGACCAACCTCGCCGGCAAGATCCTCCCCACCATCATTGGCTCGCGCGTCACTATTGGTGAGTCATGCAAGTCACTGGGACTTGCTACTCCGTGAGCCCTGCTGTTGTCCTTGAGCCTACTGCTGAGGCCTGCTGCTGAGGCTGCCTGCTGCTTGCGGGCTGCATCGTGCACGTGGCAAAGACCAACCTCGCCGGCAAGATCCTCCCCACCATCATCGGCTCGCGCGTCACCGTCGGTGAGCTTTCACTCTTCAATGAGCCTCCGTGCTGCTGAGGTGACTTGTGAGCCGACTCAAAAGTCACCCCGTGCTGCTGAAGCCCGCTGCTGCTCGCTGGGCGCTCGTGTTTGTCGGGGTTTCTGTTAATTCCGCACTCTGAGTGCCTCTGCCATGCAGTCCGTTCAGCATCACTCACCGTGATGATGTGCACACGTGTGTGTGTGTTTGGGTGGCAGGGGTCAGCTTCAACACCACCTCTCAACTCAACTGCCCCCCCCCCCCCCATTCCATAGTGCAGTGCCGCACACATGGCAATAGCCAGCTGTAGAGTCACCTTTGAATCCATCACGTATGCTGCCTTCCCACCCCGCTTCACCCTTTTTGCCCCCGCTTTCCCCCATCTCACCCCCCAGGGCACAATGCGGTGCTGCATGCGTGCACGGTGGAGGACGAGGCATTTGTGGGCATCGGAGCAACGCTGCTGGACGGGGTGGTGGTGGAGTCGGGTGCCATGGTGGCTGCTGGCGCTCTTGTCGTGCAGAATACGCGCATTCCTGCAGGCCAGGTGGATTTCCTCTTGCCATACACGCTCAGTTGGGTTAGGAGTGGTGTGACTAGGTGGGTGGTGGTGGAGTCAGGTGCCATGGTGGCTGCTGGCGCCCTTGTCGTGCAAAACACCGGCATTCCTGCAGGCCAGGTGGGTTTCTCCTTGCTCTAGTGGTGAATCCATGCCCCTGCAGCCCACGTGGGTGGTGAGGCCACGTGGAGGAGGTCCCTTTATCCTGCGTGTCCCACCCCTGCGTAGTCACCCTCTCTTGCAACAATCCCCTTTGACCCCATTTGACCCACCCTCACCCCCTCCACCCCACCCAACCTAGACCTGTGCCACACCCCCAGCTACTCGTTCGCATGCTGACATCAGCGCAGCAGGCGCTCGCGCGTGTTTCGACGGGACTTAAAGCCCCACTTTCCACCCCTCTCCCACCCAGATCTGGGCGGGGTCGCCAGCAAAGTTCTTCCGCACACTGACAGCAGCAGAGCGGGCGTTCATTGCCAAGTCAGCAGAGAGCTATGCCAGCCTGGCAGAGGTACATGCCAAGGAAAACGCCAAGAGCTTTGAGGAGGTGGAGGCGGATAAGAAGCAGAGGGAGGGGTGGGCCAACTACAGTGAAGACTTTGTTTCTAGTGTGGGCGCTGTTGTGGATAAGCCGCCTGTTCCTAGTCCAGTCAAGCTGGCTTAGGCGGGGAATGTGTGCGGTGCGGCGTAAGCTTGAAGCTCGTCAATTGACGTGAACAATGGAGGTTGCTGCGTAGGTGGTGAAGTTTTAGACTGAATTCCATATACGGTACGTAGGATGGTTAGGTGTATATTGCAACTGGCTGCCCTCCATTGCCTTTCCATTCTCCCTCTATGGTCTGCAAGGTACCACAGTGTAACATTCTTTGCTGATTGAACAAGAAATATGTTGTACAAGTAGGAGTAAAGCTTAACAATATGAATATGCCCAGTGCTCTGTGTATGTTTAGCATACTGTAGGTTTATCGAGTTGCTGTATACCAAGAATCTTCACGAATATGAAAGCGACGATCTTCCACGCCTGTCAGTTTCCCACAGCGGGCGGGAGTGAATAGGCTCTCAAATCATGGCCGACAACACAGAAGCATGCCAGCCGATTTCGCGCAAGCGCAGTGCGCAATCTTTGGAATGCAATCCGCCATGTGAGTCCTCCAATGATGCTAGTGATCGAGACTTAGCCGGAACCAGAAGCCAGTGCGGACCGTCACCCTTGGAGGCTAAGGTTGGTGCATCGGAAGGTATCGTGGCAGGGCTTGTGTCGCGGATAGAAAGAGGGGAATTGGTTCCGCCGTTAAAAAGAGCGAAAAAATCAGTTGATGAGGGAAGCGAGCAGGCTGACTTCGAAGCTAACGATTCGCGAGGAGGTAGAGTCAGGTTTGTACCGGGAGTGAGGACTGGCAATGAGGCGGAAGAATCCGCCTTGCTGAAACCACGAGAAATCCCCGGAGAGAAGGATGCGGAAGCGAAAACTGATAGGGAGGAGTCTGGTGCCGTGGAAAATAAGGGTGCAGTGGTTTTGAGTAACATTGACAAATCCGCAATCGATGCTGGGATGGGGAAGTTGGAGGAAGGCAGGCAGCAATGCTTATTGGAGGAGAAGGGTAAGATGACATGGGAGCAGCAATGGATGGTTACAGCAGTGGATGCAGTAATGGGGAGGTTGGTGCATGCGGAGGAGGAGGAAATGGCTCGACTGCTTGTGGCGCAGCAGAGACAACTGAAGGTGCGTGAAGCAGAGCTCCGTCGACTGCTTATGTTGTTCATCTGGAGAGTTTTTTTCCATTTACCTTCTTCCATTAGACTCCACCAAATCACATACACTTTCCCATAAGCTTTGCTCCTCAATCTTCTTTTCTTCCTTCAGGCGAATTCAGCAGTGGCAAGAGCAGGAGAAGCAGCTTTGGATGCAAGGCAAGCACATGGCAACTTGGAGGAAGCACGGAGGCAGGCCGTGGTGGATCTTGAAGCAAGCCAAACTGCGCTTGAAGAAGCAAGAATGCGTCTGGGGGATCTCAAGACAGCACGGCAGCAGCATTAGGAGTTTCTGGAGAAACGAATTGCTCAGCAGAAGCTTGTAGTTGAGCGTGCACTGAAGCAATTGCAGGTCCGGGGCCACTATGCAAAACGTGCAATCTTGTGCAATCGCTATGCTAAGTCCCACCCTTTCCTGCCCTTCTCTTCTACTCTGCTGGTGCTTGCAGGATGAAGCAAGAAGGATTGCCAAGGAAGAATCAGAAGTTGATGCCATTGGGGAAGGGGTGACCAAGTTAAATAGCATCTGGATTCAGCTTGCAGCTGAACAGCAAAAACTGGATGAGCTTTTCTTCACTTGCTGAAATATCTCATTACAGTATTGACACTGAAATGTTGGTCCCAAGATTACGATTTACATGATTGTAGCTTCAGGATACAGAATTCATTAAAAAAATGTCTAGAAAATAACATATGTAGCTCCTACAGCAACTCCCTATGTTTAAAAACTAGGGAAGACATCGAAACACTCATGTTTCGCTTTGCTTGCTACTGCGCTTCTTTGCTTCACTGTACAGGACAACCCCAATGACTGTGATGCTGTAGCCGATCATTCCCACCACCGTCACAGGATTCCTGAAGAGGAGGATGGATACGACCACAGCAACAGCACCTTTCGCATTGCCAAGAACCTGCAAGAATGACAACAAGTGTTAGGCAAGAACTGCGTAAATCTGAACAGAAGATGCCGCCATAAGCAGACAGCATGACAGTGAAGTTACCTGCAGTGTCAAAGGGCTCGTGTACTTGGTGACCAAGAAATTTGTGAGATTCACAAAGTATGCTGTAGCCGAGTTGACAGCCAGCAAAGGAAGGATTCCCCAGTCCTCCTTAGCTTGCTTGATTGTAATGCCAAGCACATTGTGCTCCATGATTAAAGTGGCTGGCACCAGCAGCACCACAGCTATCGGAGCCATGTAGAGTAGAAGGTTCATGGAATTCAGCTTTTCCCTGCAGTCATGTTCAAACATAATCAGAATGTGTATAGTAAAATGCAGGGAAGAAACAAAAAGAACCCTTACCCGTCAGACTGCAGGAGCAAGCCCTGCACCACTGTCTTCAAGGCTCTAGCTGCGGTAGCTGCGATGCAGATAATGAACCCATATAGATGAAAGCTCGGCTCACTCTGGAAGCACAAGAAGGAGAAGAGACGTAAGTCTCGTGATAATTTTTTAAGTGCAAGGAAGCTAGCTCGATAGGAGGATTCACTCACCCCACTGGCAATGACAACTCCCATGACCACTGGTATCAAGGCAGCATACGTCACCCAAGCTTCCCGTTTAAAAGTCATAATGTAAGCAAAGAATGCGGTGAAAAACGGAGTTGTAGCCCCAATCGCTTGATTGAAGGACACTGGGAGGTATTTCAGCGATATGTTCCCACTGACCACCGAGAAGCAGAATATGGCACTCAGAGCTGCAATCTTGAGGAATTGCGACCTTGACCTAATTGCCTGCGATGAAGCACGTACGGGAATTGTCAAGACCCTGGGGATGAGTGGATAGTCCAGCATGGTGAACCCTAACATACGTAAGTAAGAAGCACAACAATGAGCTGCCCTGAAAAAATCATCAAAATCAACACCCTCACTACATTTGCTGGCCCAGGAGCTCACCCACCTGCAACGGTACAAGCTTCATCCATGCAATCGCTATGTAGCTGAAAAGTGAGCATGCGGCCATGTGACACATTGTCAAGAAGATTGGGTACTTGTAGCCATAATTGCTGAGTAGAAACTTGTTCAGCAGCAGAACGCCGATATTGCATATGTACCACGATGCTATCAACCCCAAAGTAAACCAGCTAGTCGACCCCTTGCCCTGTTGAGTCTTATCCTGCATTAAAACGAAAACAAAGCTCAGTGATAGTTCTGCTACCAGATCCTTCACGTAAGGGAAACGAAGCGTACCTCGACAGCCATTTTTCTCGCAAACGAGCCGATCACATTCAAAATCGTTAACCTAGCGACCTAAACTACTCGTAGAATTTTACATCAACAAGAAAACGGGGAGACAAGAAGGAACGTCATGGTCTCTTGCAACTAGCAGAGACCCTTCCCAGCGAAGGATCTCGGAGAATGCGCGACTAAGTGACTGTTCCGCCTCCTAGAACGCCTGCTGCATTCGAGTTACTCGAGGTGGATCAACGTAGAGAGCGAGATTTGGAGCTCGAAGCTTGGAACTAGCTGACACCTGTACTGTAACTTTCCCGCTCTCATGGTCCGTTGTGAACTTCAGAATCAATTCTAGCAGGTGACGCCCCACCACGTTCCACAAGCAGTATTTACTAACCTCAATCTATATATATGCATTTCTTACATCATTCTTGTTTTCCTAATTGCTGTTTTAACTTCCGTCGATTGTTTCTCCAATAATGTGAATCTATTAATCTCCATATTGTTATTTTCTAGTAGAAGTGCATGTGCACCGCATGCCTACTCCAACATAAAACCTTTCCCAAATCTTTGCATGTACGGGGCGGAGGTTGCTTTTGATCTCAATAAGACTGGTCCCAATGAGTTTGATAGTAAGCGCATTGGGGGTGCTGATGGAGAATTGTCTTGTGAACAGACGCATGACAGTGAGGGAGGCATGCGACGCTAAAGTATTGGGTGGCAAACATAGACGGGGATGGTTAACGAATTCGACATTGATTCAGCAAACACGGTAGCTCGAGCCCAGAGGGCGCAGGTGAGTGACTAAGTCAGCAGTACAGCCAAGTGCAACAAGGTATGGAAAGAATTGGCCAAGGGAGGTAGGATAAAAATAGAACAACGAGATACAACATCGTCAAAGTTAATCATTCACTAACTTGAAATGGCTGAATTAGGCTTCTACCGCCTCTGGGAGGAGGCTGCTGTGAGCGAGACGAGCTGAAGCCTCACGAGACAGCCATACCGAGTATTCCTTGTAGGACACAGTAAACTGCTCTCACTGGGCATCAGTGGGCGCAAAAGGGAGTGGGGTGGGATGCCAAGGGGTAGGCAAGTGACCCAGCGTGTGAGTAAACAATGCGTCACCATCCTAGCGCTGGCTCTGGAAGTACAACTCAGCGTGCAACGACCAGGTGCTTAAGTGTATCACTCGGCCCTTGCTACAACAAAAGCCAACTGGACGTAGGAGTGGCTGGCTAGGAACGACTAGCTAGGAATGTTAAGCTATGAGCTGCATGCTATGAACGGCAGGCTAATGTCAAGATAGTAGGAGCAGTGAATACTAGGGTTTGGGGTAGGAAGAGGCTTGGGAGAGGAACATGTCGAGAGAGTTTAGCCAAAGAGGATGAATTCACTATTCAGTGGGGTACAAATAGCAAAGAGAGCATGCAAAGAAGGTGCACCACCAACAGTTTATAATAACTACACTAAACTACAGCTACAGGCAGTTACAGATATATTCTAACACTCCCCCATAACTGCCTACAGCAGGAGTTTGTGCAGCAACACATCCTGGATGGGTACACCACGAACACAGAAAACAGCATCAGCAGGCAAGAGCAGTGGCAGCCGGTGCAGTGGTAGCAGATTCAGCTACACCAACCCCTCAGCCAAGGTAGAAGCAACAGACAAAGATGTATGTGGCGGCAGGTCCCTGGAGAGCGGGTGCGTGCGGCGGCACAGCAGGGCTCAACGGCAGC